GAACTGCATGGTGGCAGCAGATTTCTTGGGTTGTTAAACAGTCGTAGCCCTCATAGCTTTTTGCAGGCTAATTAGTTAGTCTTGATAAAGGAAAATATAATCAAAGGCAAATGAGTGTCTGGTACAAAGTCTGAGCTGTAGTTTTAAACTGTTTTGTACTATGGGCCATTAACATTTCTATTTTCTTTCTCTTTTCAGGGATCTTGCCTGGTTACTCCTCATTACACTAGATTTGACTGTTGTGTATTTACTCAGTATTTATCTTTTCAAGAAATGCTGCTATCTACAGATTATTATTTTCCATTTGGTTCTTCATGCACTTAATAAATGGATTGGTGGTAAACTCTGACCGTAGACACTACAGCTTTGAGAGCGTGACCAGCACTTGCAAACCGTGACTGCTAACGCTGAACATCAGAGACTGCACTGCAGTGTAGGATGTGCTCATACTCACTAGATACAGCACTTCTGCCATACGCAGGTCTCTTTTGTTAGATAAAATTAACTGGCATGTGTTTCTGGCACCGTGCTGCTGCTGTTTCCAAAGTGACAGCCTCTTCTTTCGCATCCCCAGGAGAACACCTGAGAAATGGTACATCTTTTTCTAAACGCTGCATGCTCGTCTTCCTCAGCCCGCGGAGGGCTCTTGCTGTGTCCGGTGCTGCCGTGCACCCCCTGAAATGACAAACTCCCAATCCCAGGGGTGGGAAGTAAAGAGTTCTTCCTCTCCAGAGCCCACCTGCTCATTACCAAGAGGCAGGACACCAGCCTCTCTCTTGCTGGGTGGGAGAGACCTGCCGGTGCTCACAGAGCTGGGAAAAGCCATGTCCTTCTGAGCATCTCCCTGCATCACCCCGGATCCAGTCACCAAAGCCTCTTTTCTCTAATGATACAATGACGTGTGGACATCACACAGTCATAACCCTGCCTTTGAACCTCACACGGTTATAACCATGCCTTCATATCTCTTGATCAGTCCTTAATGGTGTAACTGCAGACAAACTGCTTTCTCTTCTCCAGCATGATTGTTATTTTCTGTAAAAGTGCCACGAATTTTCAAAATACCTTAGTACTTTTTCTGGCCAATTCTGCCTCCAAAAGGCAGAGTGGGGTGAGTGTGGCAGGAACCTCTTCCTGCAGACTTCTGTCCAGGAGAATAGGAAAACTCCGGAGTGCTGTTTTCAACATACATTTTGTAAGTTGCAATCAGAAGATTCACGAAAGCACATCAGTGTTTTTCAGATACTTCAGTTATTACTGGGATACTCAGAGGGCCCACCAGACCCTGCAGATGGTTTGGTATCACAGATGTGCCCACCGGACCCTGCAGATGGTTTGGTATCCCAGATTTTAATAATATATTTTCAAGACTGCTTTACACAAACTGCATTAGAAAGTCATCAGCACAGAGTTTGTAATTTACATAATCCTTGGGACTACTCAAGCGGATTTGCAGAACACTGCTAGTAGACAGTGAAAAAGATTTATAATGAAAAATACCCTAAAAGAGTTCTAATTTCCATTGATATTTTTCTCAAGTCAGTTGTTCATATCTGTATTTCTGTATCATTGGTCACATTTTAGAGGAAATTCTGCTAAATACTTGTTAAATAAGGCTAAATATTCTGCTAATGATAGATTAAATACCGCTAACAAGTACAACCAGTGTATTTGACGAAGGTCTAAATATAGTCACGCTGTACACCTTAGCTCCCTTTCAACTTCTCTTCCTGTCCTGGAGTATAATTAGGCTGGAGCCCTGGGGACATGCTCATCACTAACCAACAGCTCGATGATCTTGCTGGAGCCAAAGTGTATGTCAAGCCACAACCGAGTCTGAGGCACTGACTCTAAGAATAGCTTCAAATTTCCACTGTTAGGTGCAGTAGTAATGCGAATTTAGACTACCAAGAAAATATAATACATCTTAAAGGAAAAGTAGCCCTTGAAAGTAATTTCAAAAAATAATCATGACGCTAACAGGAGACAAGGATGACAACTGAGAAATACTCAGAAAATATAGTAATTTTCTATCTCTGCATGCTGTGTTAGAGCCTGTGAAAAATGTGGTTAGCGACTACTGCAGCTTTTCTGGTTTATAGCCCTTATAAACCAGGTATTTTGAAGGGTTAGTGTGTTTATGCACTGGAAGACACCAGGCCCAAACGCATGGCATTGTGGTTCAGCTCCCTGCTCTGGCACTGGCGGCTGTGCTAAAGCTCCGGCTTCCAAGGCCTTGGGTGCGCAGCCGCCCCTGCAGAAAGCAACGGCCGCATTCTGCACGGGGACGGGCAGGTGCGTACTCGTGCCCACCTCCTCACCCGAAAAGCGATTCCACCCCACCTCGAAGCTGCGCTGCCTGAAACCACACCTCCGCGTCGTTCTTCCTTCTGTCAGGGCTTGCCAGGAAACGGAGTCAGTTGTGGGTGGAGGTGTCCCGAGGCACACGAAAGCCAACAGATAATCAGCTGTATGAATGCACTGCTGTTTATAAATGAAGTGCCAGTATGCTGCCTCACAGCTTGCTCTGCAGGTAAAAAGGAGATTTGGCAGCTACTTCCGACCTCGCAGAAGTCAGGCTGGCAAAAGCCCAACATCCAGCGCAGAGGGGTGTTCAAAAGAAGACGCAAGATAGCTTAGCCCTGCCCAGGCAGCCCAGCCGTAGGCTCCACGGGCAAGGAAAGCAATCAAAGAGTCTGCTAATTAGCTCAGCACAGAGGCGTTTCAGCTGTCTGTAACAAACATCGTCTACAGTTCAGTACGGCACACTGTGACCAGTCGAAGTTTAGTGCAGGACCAAAAGCTTTCCCCTGGGCGCAGATCTCTCACAGACCTTTTCCTGCGAAGGGAGGCTGCTTGAGGAGTGCCATCTCCCTTAAAGCTGCGAATAGCATTTATTTCCCCATGCTGGAGTTGAAGTTAGCAGTAGATTTACTTATTTTTTAAAACTAGGAACTTTTTAAAATCTCCAGATTTTTCTTTATAGAACAAGCCAGGGATGAATAAAGTGCTCAGAAAGTGGTAATATTCTATTCACATTTTACAATTATAATGATTGTAATTCTAATACTGTAGACTATTAAAATTTAAGATATCTGACATCGTACAGAGTTATTAATATGGAAGTAAAACAATTCCTCTGAGTGGGACTTTGAATATGACTTCTTACTGAAATTACACAGTCTTTAAGTAACTGGATAAAAAATATTTACGTATATTTTGGGCTAAGCTGCTTATGCGTGAATGACATTCAAATGCATAGAGTATGTCAATTTATTTCAGATCTATAAAATACAAATCTAAAAATATAATTCTACAGACAATACTCACCATTTGGTTTTATATTTTAGTATGGTCTCAAGCCTATCTTGCACAGAAAAATAATGTAACAGAACAACAAAATATTTTAACTTTTTAGATTTCCTTAAGTCTACCGTATACAGCAAAAATACTGTTGTGCACAGTAACCAATTAAACATCTACATTTCAAAGTAGGTTGGCTACATCTCAAAACTGAGACACCAATTACAGTACATTTATTAAAAATCCTTCAAGAATACACTCAGTAGTAACAGTGGTAGCAGTAGTTAAAATCTTAGCAGTTCTGTGAAATGATCAAAGCAAATGATAACAGAATGAAAAAATTCAGTTAATCATTTACACGTCATGTAAAACCCATGTAACACTACATTGAAAGAAGAAATTACACAGGCACAAGTGCAAAAAAGCAGTATCGTAAGCCATCTTCTCTCTTTGGTAAAAATCAATTAGCAGGAAGTATACCATAATAATTCAAGTCAAAGACTAATTCATGCTATGTATTTTCTTCCTTTCCTATCACAGGCAGACTTGATGATTTGCAGGCGTCCTACAGTACAGAAGTTAAAATACTACTTAACACTGCCCATTTTCTCCTCTTTTAAGTTTAAATATTGAAATTAAAGATAAGGATTTTTTTCTTTCATAAATAGCTTCTCAGTAGTATAGTCTCTTAAGGAATTTAAAAATAAATAGAAAATATACACAATTTCAAAGATTACATTTAATTCCTTCTAGGTATATCCTGAAAATATATCACCAAAGAATAAATAGCTTTGGGTTTCTCAAATATTTGGTAAAATGTTAATTACTCTTACATAAGGAGTTCTCTCTGAGGAATAAGGAAGTACCATTGCTTTTTCTACAAAGCTTTTACTGTACAGGTGGAATTTTAGTAACTTTACAGTAAGAATATAATCTGTAATATAATATGGACGTTCCCCATTAAAAAGCACAGTAAAAAACCTTTCAAAATTAAACCTTCAGAGTTTCAGGTTCAGACCTGAGGAACTCCAGGTAACTCTGAAGTTCTGCAGGCGGGACAGTCGAGCCCAGCTGTGTATGTCAGGAGGCTGCAATAACCATAAGGTAATTTCCTCTAGTGACAGAGTCAAAGCTGTTTTCTACTGATAATATCCTAAAAATCCAAAAATGACAAAGTGTTAAGAAAGGGACAAAAGAGAAGGACGTGGGTGAAGAACACTTGAGAGTAAGCCGTCCTGAGAAAGACATGAATTGCCTACTGGGATTTCAGTAGAACCATAGATCTGAAATAGATCCTTCTGCTTTTGAAGGCCTTGACCCTCATGAACAATGAAGGTAATGTCATAGAGGATTTCTATTTGAATTTGCAGGTTATCATCTTACTCAAGCTCCTCCTTCATATTTATCTGAAATTATTACTAAAGAAAAAAAGAAAACTGCAGGCCACATCAGCAAAGCAACTAGTTAAAAGAATCCAGCAACCTGAAGTGTCATTAGATATTACAAAAAAAAAAAAAATCTTAACTGCAGGAAGATCTTCTGGAAGGGCAGAGCCAAAGTCCTTGCCTTTTTTGAAGATCCATTTAAGCCGCTAGCAGAGTAAAGGCAATTTTGACTGCTTATTTATTCGGAATGCATAAATCACATGTAGATTCACTAACCTCCTATTCACACCCACAGTTAATTTACATAAAACATTAAGCAGAATGCTTTTCTACTCCTTGTTTGATTCCAAGCACAAGATGTAAAAACCAATTAAATTGCACAGTCCAGCCCTTATCTCTGCAAACCTCGATCTGATCAAGAAAATGCTTTTTGGCATCTTCTTCGCTCTTCCCTACTGTCAGTGCATCCCGGATATATTCAATATCCTCTTTGCTGGTTAATTGGGGCATTCCAGTCATTAGCATCATGGAGAACAGGATGATCAGCAGGTTTGTGTGGTGTCGAAGAGCTAAATAAGCCTTCACACATACATCCTACAAGAGAAAAGATTCTTTTGTTAATTGATGAGGTGAACTGAGAGGAACGGTGTTGGACTCTCACAGGACTCCCATTAACCAACGCTATTCAATCAGGTGAGTACGCCAGAGAGAGGAGACCCAGCGGAGCCGTTCACCTGAGCAGAAACGTGAAGCAAACTTCTGCATCCGTCGCTTGGTATTCCTTCATTCATCAGCACACCTTGGGGCAACAAGTACTGTTTTGGTGTACAAACTAAAGGCTCTTTTTAATAATATTATATTAATTATATTAATTACTCAAGCATACAACCTTAGCTTCACCAAAATTTCAAATTAATTTCCCTGTCGTATAATGTCTTTCTGTGGCTGTTAAAAGAGACAACAATAATTCATTGTCTTCCTTTCCAATTGGCATGTTCCCATTTAAAGACCATGGCTGGCAGGGGACACTGAATAAAGCAGCGCCTCCAGGGTACTGTTCTTCATTTTATATATATATCTATTAACTTTTCAGAGGTGATGTCTTATTTAATGGAGAAGATTTTTCAGGCTTGGTGTTCTGAGAAATTTTTCCAGCTGACAGCTTCAGTTTTCAGGCACAGTGCCTTGCTATAGGACTTCTATGTTTCTGTATTGTCATACTGGATTCCATAGATATTTTTTTTTATAGCTTTTTCTCTTCTATAAATAAGTAATTTGTGCTTAACAACATAACCTTCAGAAGAATGAAATTTCTGCAGCTTGGAAAAACACGCAATGCTTTTTAAAAGAATATTTAATGCTAAGTGACTAATACATAAACTGAAATGATTATTTCGTATATTAAATTTATTACTCATTTACTTTTAGAAATAACATCTTAAGGAAGACAATGCAATGAAGAAATCAATCATACATTAGAAAGCTAAATTTGGCCTGCAATGCAGTAATGTAAAAAGATGAAAAATATTTCGAAGGTTGTTGCTACTAAAACAAAAGCTGAAGCAATGCAAATTTTTATCCAACTAAATATTCAAACCAACCTTTCCACAAATGTATATGAATTTATTAAAGAATTCTTAAGAAATCCAAATATTTTCATATAAAGTTCCACCAAATATCATCAGCCCTCTAGAACACTGTTTATTTTTTATAAGGTGTATGGGTTTTTTCTTCCTTACAAACAGTAAGAGGTGCACAAAGAATCTTAACATCTATCTCTGGTCACATCAGCAACACCAGGACAACCAGACAGGTTCGGGAGATACTCAGGAAGCAAGATGTTATGTTGAAGATCTGTCTGTAGGGTTGTTTTTTTCCTATTGCCCGGGCCCTTACATCTTGCCCTCTGTTTCCAAACAAATTCTGTCCTGAAATAAGGTCATATGAACTGTGATGTTAGTTTAGCTCTAGCAAACCAGAAGATAAATTGCAATGGTCAAAGCACAGGAAACACCATCATCTTACCACTTTTGAATTCCTGGAAGGGCTGCCTTGGAGATGCAGTGATGCCAGGTTCTTGACTGCATAATACAACTTCAAACAGGGAAATCTTGTCACAAGAGTTAGTGTGCGTTTTGTTCCCCTTGAAAGAGATGAAAGCTCTTCATAGTTATGTCAAAGCAGGTTTTACATGTCTCTGTGGATGATGATCTCTCTACTGCTGGTGTCTGAGACAGAGAAACAATTATGCAGTCAAGAACCTGGCATCACTGCATCTCCAAGGCAGCCCTTCCAGGAATTCAAAAGATTTAAAAAATCTGTATCTGCCTGTTACAGTTATTTATTCAGACAGGAACTGAATGGAGTTTTGAATTAACATCTCCCAAGAAAACTAACTTTTACACTTCTGAGAGAGGCAGAGAGAACCAAAAATAACACATACGTATGTGTGAAGGATATGTAGGTGTTTACCACGGGATTAAGACGAAAGCTGCTAACTAATCTAAAGCCACAGGCAAAATAAGAGGAGCTGAGAAGAAACCAAAATCCTGTTGTGCAACAGACAATGAAGAGTAATTATTTTGAGAGCTTGAAACTGTCCTAAGCATTAGTATCCTAAAGGTCAGGCACTTTTATAAAATGAAGTGTCCAAGTTCTGTTACACAGACCACCCCTTCCCTGTATAGTATACTATAAATAAGTATTTTTCAGTGATGAATTGTACACCCTTCTGCTTTCTGTCACCTTTATTTGACAATCAAATACATCACATTTTGTACACAAATGGTACGGAATCACAGAACCATAGACTGGTTTGGGTTGGAAGGGACCTTAGAGATCACCTAGTTCCAACCCCCCTGCCATGAGCAGGGACACCTTCCACTAGAGCAGGTTCCTCAAAGCCCCATCCAGCCTGGCCTTGAACACTGCCAGGGAGGGGGCAGCCACAGCTTCTCTGGGCAACCTGTGCCAGGGCCTCACCGCCCTCATGGTGAAGAAGAATTTGACTAGTACTGAAAACAAAGATCTCTGTATTATCAACTCAGCAGAGTAATGGAAAAATAATGAATTAAATAAATTAAGTATAAGGAATAAAAATACATTCAAACTTTAACGCAAAAACTAGCAAAGACAATTTTAGGCAAACTAACAATAGGTAGGTGGACAAAGTTCAAAAGATGACAAAGAACTTAGATGAGGCTCTCTCAAGGGTTTCTACAAGTAAGAAGGGAACAAGCTGTGTGTACATAGGAGTAAGAGAGTGGCATGGGTTTCAGCCAAAGGCTGGAAAGGAAATGCCACCACATATGACACTTAGAGCAAGAGAAATCTGAACAGTACTAAGGCAGCTGAAAAATTCATAGATGGAACAGAAAAATACTTGTCTTCTTGGATTAAGTCATGCTTAAATACATTCTTGTGATTAGGACAAAAGACCATCAAATACTGCTTCCTACTAAGCATTTCTGTGATGTCACTAAGAATCTCTGGCACCTAATTTTCATTAAACCATCATAAGGAAAGCAAACGAAAAGCGAAACAAAATTTAGATTAAGCCATAATAGGAATGAGCTTTATTGCCAGTTTCAGAAAAGTTGCGAGGCCACTGACAGCTTTATAAGTTCACTAACAACTATACTCCATTGCAGTGAACTTCAGTTAAAATTATTTATCTAAATAACCTCCCCTGACACCTGCAGTATGAGCTATGGCTAACATATCTGTATGGACTGTATGGACAGAGAAATAAAAAAGAAGTAGATATTTTAAAATATTAAAAACACCAAAGCCTGTAAAAAACAAAGGATTCCTCTGAAGTAAAATCCATTTTAATGTAGTTGAAGTACAAATTAATGAGAGATGCTCTTAAAAATTAATGAAGGATAAATGCTGAGACTTTTCGATTAATACATGAATGAGTCAGCAGGCACACTGAATGAATCCCTCAATACCAGCAAACATGGTGAAACGAGCCAGCTGAAAAGTAAAGCTACAATTTGGTTTATTTTTGCCCTCTGACCATGTAATTAAAACATGTATTTTTTACAGCAAAGTATGTGATGCAGAACTTGCTCTGTGTTACTATTTTACTTGTACGGAAGTAATTAAACTTTCTTTTAATTGGTCTTTGAGACAGAAAAGTCTTTAATGTACTACTGGAATAGCAGTTTATAGACAGTATCTAGTACAGCAGAACTGTATAGGAACGTAGGATTTTTTCGTCAATATTATTGTTGTCTGTCCTAAATCATCCCACTTAAAATGACCAGGTCACATACCACAGTCACAGTTCACAGAGGCAAAGCATGTTAATCACCTTTCAGCTGGTTAATGACACTAGTGGGAATTGCACTGGCACTATCACGGAATTCCTAAATCGTCTACATTAGCAGGACAGCAGCAGTATTTAGAAATTTGTACCAGAGTAACAAAACGTGCATTCAGTCAAACCCGGGGCACACAGCAATAGGACAAGGGGTAACGGCTTTAAACTAATAGAGGGTAGGTTTGCATTAGACATAAGGAAGAAATTCTTCACTGTGAGGGTGCTGAGGCCCTGGCACAGGTTGCCCAGAGAAGCTGTGGCTGCCCTCTCCCTGGCAGTGTTCACGGCCAGGTTGGATGGGGCTTTGAGGAACCTGACCTGGTGGAAGGTGTCCCTGCCCATGGCAGGGGGGTTGGAACTAGGTGATCTGTAAGGTCCCCTCGACCCAAATCATTCTATAAGTCTATGATTCTATGATGAAGGCACAGCTTATTGAAGACCAAAATCACCTCCTATTGCTTTTGGTATTTGGGCTGCTGAAGTAAAGGTCAGATGTTCTCTAAAAAGCTAGATGATCCATACACACGAACACAACATTACCTCACAGACTGCTAGTCTTCCGTTTCCTTATTAGCATGTTTTCACATCTTCAACTGTTTTCTGCTTCCAGAACAGAGGTCTTCTATGAAATGACATACCCTAGAGTGGTGTTTCAGCCCATTTGCACAGGGCTTACAGCTGCGGCAACAGCATCTTTCCCATACACAGCACAGCTCCCAGGCTGCTCTAAGAGCATGGGCTCAGCATTCCCCTCCCATGCCAAAACCCACCCTGCTCTTAAATCTTTTGAGCTACAAACCCCCTTCAAAACACCTGTACTGTGACAAAGCTAGTCCCTGTGCAAAACAAAGACCCCAAAACCGCACCGGGTTCTCTAGTTATTTTCAGAAGGCTGGGCTCAAGGATGACAACTGCCTTGTTATTTACTGCACAAACACATGTATGTTCAAAGGGACATATACGCTATTCAACAATAAAACCTTAATTAGGTACTCAGGTTAGAAAACCAGACTCCTCACCAGGACAGAGAGACAGGTTCATCCACAAGGAATCCAGAATATCTAACTTAAGCTTATGCTTTGATTCACACTCTGTAGGAGATGGTTTTGATATTATAGGGAATCTGCTTTCTAAATCAGGCACTTCTTTAAAATCCCTCAAGATGAGCACAAGAATAACACCCCAGACATCCATTTGCTTCTGCTCAGCCATGCTCTCAGCCATTTCATCAAACATACTAAACAGCATTTGGCTTTGCTCCCTTCTCGCTCAGGTCCTACACAACCTTGAAAAATCACAAGTGTTTCGGAGGAGCTCAATTTCAAATAGAAGCTGCAATAGAACAGATTTTTAACACCATTCTTGTCTTTCAGAGTGTTAAGTCCATCCACTTCACAAAACCAGAATCTGACACAGCTTAGGGTCACTGCAGATTTCTAATCAGATGCAGTAGCCCGAGGCCCAGAACACAAGGGCAGCATCAGGCGGGAATCGCTGTGCCGTGGCCAGCTGAGGAATGCCTCGCACCTGCTCGTACTACACAGAAGGCTCCGCTTAGTACTACGAGTCTCCTCTAACTGCACAAACACTGATGCTCTCTACAAAGTATTTTCCATCAAGACAAGAAACAAAGTCTGTTGATAATGGAGGCTTTTCCATGTGGCTTTGTGGATGTTTGAGTTCTACTTCCCATAACCCTACAGATAATTTTTGCTCTTAGCTGGGCCTAAAATATCCCAAAATTGTATTACAATTCAGTAAATTTTATTAACATAATACCCAGGAGCCTGGACCTTTGAAAACTAAGGCACTAATGTTCATTTCAGAGGGTAAAAAACATTGCTTAATTGATTTGCAGCTAGATATTCACTCTTTACCTGAAATTTATGGAAATGGAGACTTGTCTTCTTTCCGGAAGTCCCCATGACAAACAGAAAATCTGGAGTCAGCACAAAAGGAACTCTTTCCTTATTGATTCCAAGGAAGCTTTTATAATTCCCAAGAATGTGGCCAAAATCAATATGGAAAAGGTTACCTTCACAAAGAGAAGAAGTCGCAGTTAGGCTTAAATACAATAAATTACCGAAAACACTCACTGGTATTCACAGTAATTCCAAAATCTCTTTTTTTTGGGGTATATATGATCACTCTTTAGTACAGCAGAAAATACTATTTTATCTCTTTTTTTTTGGAATATATAATTCTGTCCTCTTGGCAAAATCACTTTTTATTTATCTTTGGCAGTTGTGAAAAACCTGGAAGAACTGGTGTATTTTCTAAACATACACTCACAGCTTTTCAAAAATCATCCAAGGAAAGCTTGTGCCTCAGATCCATAACAATCAGCTCCCAGCACATCACTACATGGAAAAGGCTTGTGGAGTATGTTTCAAATACCCATGGGATTCTGGCACTATCCAGCTCCTTGGCTAACGTCATTCACTAGAATACGCTTCTTCCTCACAGACCTACACTACCAATTTCTAAACCACCCCGTACTGTGCAGAAGAAGTTTGCCTTGTCACCCTTTGGATAACTGACACTGTAGTAGGGTATCAGGTCCCAGGAAAGCAATGAAGAACTCCCCTGTTAAGGATCGCTATACCTACAGGAGTGGAGTGCACTGCTGCTCTTCAGATTACCACTTTCACTGGCAGACAAGATGTAAGGACAAGAGTATGGTAACTTAAAAACATAGATTTGTAATAGTGGTACACATATAGAGAAAGATAAAACATCCAGTGACATCAAGATGATACTTAACAGCGATCCTTAGGTGGAACATTATTAGCTGTTTCAGTGTTTCAGCCAGTTTCTGAGTCCTCCCAACCTACCAAATCTGACACTCCCTGCAGACCTCACAGACTGACACCCTTCTGGCTCCTGGGGCTCCAGACAGCTCCCGTTAAATACCCTAAGGCCAAACTGCTCTGGACCACAACAGAATAACCTTCCTTTCTGTCTCCCTTTCTACTGACCTGTCCCTTATTTTCTGCCAGTGAGCACTAACATTGCATTATATTATATATAATGTTGAAATTCAAGCATTTCTTTGTCTTCTTTTCCTCAAAGACTTCTGCTGAACTTCTTTACTGTAGTCTTCAATGAGCTCATTTCTGCCTTCAGGGTACTTCTTCTCTCTAGCCTTCAACTGGTAAAACTTTAACTATAATATGATTAATATTAAATATACAGCTCTCTAACTAAGCCCAAAAGTATTTTCTACCTCTTAGCATTATGTAAAGACTAACTATGAAGCAAGAGGATCATGGAACTGGAAGTGAAATTCTTAGACCAAATAAATCTCCTCCATATGTACTGCTCATTCTGGTGTCCTTTCTGGGGCTTCCATAAGTAAATAAAATTAGGGATGAACCAATATGCAGCTACAGAAATAATTCCCGAAGTCTGTAATACAAAAGAACTGCAGTTATTTCAGGAGGATTGCAACCATCCCACAGACTTCAGTACCAAAACCAATACACTCCATGTACACTTACTTTTTAGGATTTTCTACAAAGGCATGTACAGCAATTATGTTCCACAGAAGTGAAAATACTCCAGGAACATCTGAATTCTGACACAGATATAGTTCCGCTGAACACTGTCAGAACCACATCCACGATCCAGATAGGTGAACAGCTATCTGATTTTTAAAGTTTTTTTGGCTTTTAGATCTTAGATCTAGACAAGAAAAAATATTAGTTTTACATTCCTCATGACTCAGTTTGTAACAAACTTGTCCTTGAAAAAGAATGGCATTATTAATGATAAATATCTAGAGCCTATATGAAGGCCAAACAGGGTGACAATACATTTCAATGCCACGGGACAACCTGAACTTGTAAGCAGTGCTGACAGAACTGGATTGTGTCTCTTCATTCATTCTTAAGTGTATTATTTGTTAAAATAAAAGATGAAGCTAGTGAAGTATAGACAGTCCCCACTTCCACGAAATTCTAAAAAAATAACTTACCTGTTTCTGTAATCATAATGTTGTCATTGTGCCTGTCTCCTATTCCAAGGACAAAGGTTGCCACACAGTATCCAGCACAAGAATAAACAAATCTTTCCACAGCTGCCTGAAACTAAAAATAAATCTTAGAGATGTTAAATGCTTCAATGCTAGAAACTAAATTCAGTCATTCTTGAAGTCATATGCCCTTCTGTCGACAAGTATCTATCAATAGTCAGAGAAACTGTCTTATAAAATACACCGTTGCACAGCAGAGACTAAGACCACAGCCCTGCACTGCACTCGCTGTGCTTTGCAAGCAGGCTCTACCCCTTAGCACAAATAAAATAAGCATATAGTTGCCCACGCTTTCTGAGAAAAAAAGCTGGCAGAAAGCTCTAGGTCAGTGGACCTACCTAAGCAAAGGAGTTGTGAGTACCCAAACCTGTATTTAAAACCTATAAAACCACACCGCCTTTCAGTGTTCTTAGATGTCCTTCCAACCTGCTCCTCATGTGTGATTTCTAAATACCACTGACAAAGCAGTCACTTCTAAAGCATCTTGTTTCTCGGGAGCTTGGCTGGCAGCTGGATGCTAAAGGCTCTCTCACAGAGACCCGTGGCTGAGTACAGGGAAAACGAATGGATATTTCAAACTTGCCTAAGTAACAAACACAACCATATGGGCTCTGTGCTCCTAAATTAGTAGGGTGCATTTGAAAATCCTACTTCATAATTCAAAGAACTCACCTTCTCTTCAATCATGCATCTTTCCTTGAGCCACTGGTTTAGTATTTCATCCTTAAATGCACCAGTGTTGCCAACTGTACTCTGCTGAATTTTGGCAATTGTTGTAGCATCTTTCACAATTTCGATCATTCCTACAGAAAGCAAGGAAAAAGTTATACGAAGTTATTAAATGCATATCAAAGCATATTAAAAATATGTAAAGTTAAATTTAAAACTGGGTTTTTTAAATCAACTGCATAACTTCCTAATTTACGAGCAAACATTTATTTTACAAACAACAGTGGTTCTTGTTCATTCCCAGCTGAAACCAGCCAAAGCTTGTAACCAGCCTGGCATCCTGAATTCCTCAATGAGAATGTAAAACGTTTTAGAATGGAAAGAATCACACCATGAGTGGGGAACCTCTACATAAGGCTTTTCCCGAGGAGAGGAACTACCTCCTGTCCTGATCCTACACAAGCCCAGGTACCATTCACATTCCCACCAGCTTCTCTCCAGCTTCACAAATTTGAGGAGCTGAAGAGAAGCTGCAGCGCTGCGGCAGCCTGGGGATGCAAGTGTGGCAGAGGAACAGAGCTGCCCTTCCTGCAGCAAGTCCAATTTAAACTTATGTATGCATATGCCTAGAAAGGTTCAGAAATACCAGTACACAGTGAGATATAGTGGTGGGCTTGCTGGTGGAAAACTCTGGCTCTTGGGGCCCAGAGGTTGGTCCTTAAACTGAGTAAATCCTTGCAAAGGCAAATCAGCACATCACAGCAATACAATGCAGAAACGAGGACTTGCACTGTTCATATTAACATGGCAGACGATGCAGGGGAAGCTAGAGAGAAAATCAGGAACAGAAGCTGCAATGCAACTCTGCACTGTAGCCAAGACTGACAGGCAAGTTGCCTTTACTGAAACTTGGTAGGACGAATCCCATGACTGGAGTGCAGCTATGGAGGGCTACAGGCTGTTCAGAAGGGACAGGTGAGGAAGGAGGGGAGGAGGCATTGCCCCCTACATCAAGAAATGTATGGAGTGTGAAGAGCTGTCCCTGAAGAATAGCCACGAGCAGGTCAAAAGCTTATGGGTAAGAATCAGAGACTGAGAGAACAAAGGGAACCTTGTTGTTGGTGTCTACTACAGGCTGCCCGATCAAGGGGAGCCTACTGACAAAGCCTTCTTTCTCCAGCTCCAGGAGGCTTTGCGCCCGCAGTCTCTCGTCCTACTGGGGGACTTCAACCACCCTGACATCTGCTGGAAAAGCAGCACGGTGAGTTGTAGGCAATCCAGGAGACTGGCGGAGTGCATTGAGGATAACTTCTTAAGCCAGGTAATAGTTAGCCCTGCCCGAGGGGATGCAATACTGGACCTGATGGTCACCAAGGCAAGTGAACTCATCGGTGATGTCAAGATTGGAGGCAGCCTGGGCTGCAGTGATCACGCATTGGTCGAGTTCACAGTCCTGAGGGATATGGGTCAGGCAAAGAGTAAAGCTGTTCAAGGAGTTAGGCAGCAGGACCCCCTGGGAAACTGCCCTCAGGGACAAGGGAGCAGAACAGAGCTGGCAGATCTTTAAGGACATTTTCCATAGAACACAAGAGCTCTCAATCCCCAAGTGCAAGAAATCAGGCAAGCAAGGGAAGAGACTGGAATGGCTGAGTTGAGACTTGATGGTCAGACTAAGGGGCAAGAAGGAATTGCACAGGGAGTGGAAGCAGGGACAGGTAACCTGGGAAGAGTATAGGGACGCCGCCCGATTATGTAGGGATGGGGTCAGGAAGACCAAGGCACAGATGGAGCTGAACTTGGCAAGGGATGCAGTGAATAACAAGAAGGGCTTCTACAGACATGTCAGCCAGAAACGCAAGGTCAAAGAAAGTGTACCCCCCCGATGAGCAAGACTGGCAAACCGATAACAATGGACAAGGACAAGGCTGAGGTACTCAGCAACTTTTTTCTG